CCCTGCCATATCTGATGGAGACTACAAGTGGTTGTTTTAACACTCATTACGCAGACTTGGTCCATGATTATCACCATCAGAAAACTTGCCCTGAGAAAAGTTGTGCAGCCATCAATGGATTGAATGTATATAGACAAGAAGTGGTTGCAAATAGACTTCAAGAGAACAGCATCGAGATGCAACAAAGGATGAAAAAATTGTGAACTTTAGAAAATGGCAACCATTTAGTATACACACTGCTTTAGAAAACTAAATGTTATTATTTTAGGATTTAGATCTACTACAAATACAGTGCTCCAAAATAAATACTCAGTAGCATCAAGTGCCCCCAATTACTACGCCCAAAATACTTGGTACACCCAATCCTCAGTGCAGTCAGTGTGACAGCAAGCCACTAATTATCAGTACCCCCTCATACAATCATGCTACTTTATAGAAGTCCATGCGATTTTACTGCCCACACACGCACATAGAAAAGAAGAGGACCGCAAAGGGATTTAAACCTTGCCGTCGGCCATGGTGGCACAATCTTGGTAAGTATGGAGCTTTGGGGGAGGTGGGTTAGTTCTGGTTAGAGGGGTTGGGACAAAAGGGTAAGGAATCTTTTCAGCTTATTTACAGATTGTTATGAATATGTAAATATCCTTTTCTTTGAGTACATTAAGGAACTCAGGATAGTAATTACAGTATAGAGGTTTACGCTGCTGTCTTCAGGAGATTGGACACTGGCAAATAAAAACTGTAAGGACAGCCTAGAATAAGCCCTGCCACTCCCATCATTCCTTAGTAAGGAATAATAGGAGTGATCATAACAGAGGGGAGGGAACTGTATTTCTTAATGTACTCCAAGAAAAGGATTTTATACTAAATCAAAAATACAATTTGCCTTATCATACAATGGTACAAAAGAACACAGGATAGTGATTCAGGTACATAGGGACATCCAAAACTACTCCAACTGAGGGGTGGGCAACACAGCAAACAAAACACTAATATGCCCACGTCAACAACAGGTAAACAGAAGGGGGTCAACAGAACTCACAGAGCCTAATTATATATTGGCTAAGGCCTCATTCACACAAGAAACGTCTGGGACGTAGAGCTCCGTGCTGCGTGCACAGCCGTATCGAGCAGCTCCCGGGAAGGACAGGTGCTGCGTGTGATTAGTACGCAGACCGTCTTTCTCTATGGGACTACGCGGCCTTACGCTGCCCTACAGTCACCCGCCCTGCATGTCCGTGCGGGTGCGGTTGTCCATACTCGTTCGCTGACAGGATGGACACCTGTACGGACCTGCACAGGGGGTCAGCGTAGGGCTGACCCCCTGTGCAATCGAATTGTGTAGTGTAAGGTCAATCTTACAGAAAGTAATCTCTAGCCACTCATTTTTTTTTTTCCACTGGCAGGGTGTGTATTATGATGCTTCTACCACCACGCCATTCCTCCTCCTTTCGATGCAGGCTTATTTAAACCAGTGGCTAGCTAGCAATCCATTTATTTATTGTTTTTTTTTGCATTGCCGCATTACAAAGATGCCAGTCATTGTTTAAGATTGGAAGCGGGCTCCTGATCAAATGATCACTGTGACAGCCAATCACAGTGATCATAGGATTTGGAAGCCCGCCTCTGCCTTAAGGCATTAAGAACCCCTTAAAGAGCCCAGCAAGAGACAGTGCCTATGGGTTAATATGTCAAACGTTTCTATCATATACTCAAGAAGATGTGGGGAAAAGCTTTGGAGGCTTCCTGCCTTCACTTCCATTGAAGCTCAACATGGCAGTCATAGAGATTAATGTGTCAGCATAGTTACAACTGGTGAGAAAAGCAACTGCTAGTTTTTGCCTAGGTGCTAAAAAAAAAAGTTATTCCCACCCGAACAGCTGAGCCTGTCTTCTCCTACCGCTGCAGCATTGGAATGTTCCTCAGCATCCTCACGTCTATACACAGTGTATAGAGCATGATGATTTACAGGACCTTAGACTGCTGCAGCAGAAGGGGAGAGAGGCTGGAAGGATCGGTCTAAGAGCAAGCCGGTTCCACGGTTCAGGTGAGTATAACTTTTATTTCTTTTTTATCCTCTAGACAAAAATGAGCAGTTAACTCTGCGGGGGTAGATATACTGAAAGGGGCATTAGGTTTTGCCCAGAGTTCTTCTTTAAACCCACTGGTTTACACAGCACTATGAAAACACAAAGGAATTAGCAATTTTTTTTATAATTACTCCCTAGTAACCAATAACATTACTAATCTCAAATCTTGCCTATAAGAGAACCGGAACACTGGAAGGTGTGGCCAAAAAATGCCGGCAGAGGGCAAAGAAGACTTGGATCTCACTGCAGCTGACCTTTTCTCCATGCCTGTCTTACCATGCATTGTTCTACACCATGGAGGCAGCCATGTTGGTAGAGGTAGGGTTTTGCTTCCTCATGTCAGAGCCTCTAGCAAGAACAGTGAGCAGCCCAGTAGTGACATCACTCCAAATCTCCTGAGACAAGCAGTCAGAGGCATCAGTGTCTTAGATCTTACACTGCAGATACACAGCTATGAGGTTGTATACACAGGAGTACCTAGGCACACTCACATACTAGGAAATGTACAGCTATTTTTCAAGAGGAATTCAATTTAAAAAAAAAGATAACTTTTTAGGGTAATGCCTAAGTACAATTAACGTTTCTAAAAGTTTTCTATACCTTAGCAAATCTTTACCTTTTGAATACAGGTCCACTTTAAATATTCAGAGGCTTGTTTATAGGAACTAGTGTACAAAACGTAGAGTAACCAGTAGGATCAATGGTGGCTAGGGGCAACAGATCCATAATGTTTTGGGTTTTTTTTGGCGTTTTTTATTTCCACAAATTAGCTCTTTTGTCTGATCTGAAACAAAACAACTTCCTTCAACGCACAGCCAATGATCTCATGGAAGACAGAAGGTCACAGCTCACTTTTGCCCCACATTGCTATTACCAGAAATATAAAGTCAAGAAAATGTAAAATCATAGCCAAACAATAATCTAATGCCCTGCATCCCTTTACAGCAAATTAGGTCTTATAAGTCAGAATGCTAAAGGAATCAACAATATCATCATATTAATCTTGCTTTTTTAATCCTGGTAAAGGCTCGTAGAGTATCTATTGCTCTTGGAGTATCTCACTGAGACACTGGGGTGTATTTATAAAATGTTCTCAGAGCTATTCCCTCTGCAAACACCTGTGTTGTAGAATCACACTGCATTATGACCACTAGATGGAGCCAAGGAGCATAGGAAATTCCTATGCTTCTCCATCTAGTGGCCATAATGTGTTGCAACTCTACATCACAGACGTTCCTATAGCGAACAGCTTTCCAAACGTTTTAAGAATACACCAGAGTGTCTAGACTTGCATCTAAACTTAATGAAAAGAAACTTTTGCTGGAAGATTAAAGTAATTATTTTTGCCCCATGATTCTTCAGAACTAGAGCTGCAGCTAACGATTATTTTCAAAATCGATTAGTTAGCCGATTATTAAGTTCGATTAATCGGTTAATCGGATAAACAATAAAAAAAAAAATTTAAAATGGCTCCAGTGATGGGACTACTAGTTTGTATTGAGATTGTAGTCCATCACAGGAGCAAGCTTGGAGCGGTGGAAAAAAATAGTGTGGTGTGCAATATAGTGAAAAGTAAAGTGTAAAATTATACAGCAATGAATGCAGAACCTAGGAATGTGGTTATATGCCATTATACAATCTTGTATACAATGTTCAGTCAGTCCTTCCATGCAGATTATGCTGTTTGTGACCCGATTGACAGCTGAAGCAGGCCCCACCAGTTGGAGCAAGAAACCAGTTGGAGCAAGATACCATTAAGAACAATTTTACTGAACAGGACTAAATGATAAGACATTACAGTCCACAACCATAGAATGCAATGTAGTACAGAGCAAAGCAAATACTCTTCACAGTACATGTCTGGAAGTCTAACCCAGTGTTTCTCAACCTTTTTTTAGTCATGGCACCCTTTAGAAGTCTCGAGGCAGCCCAGTCTAAAATGTAACAAAAATAAATGGTGTGGCCCCTCCAAAATCCATACCAGACCCTTATCCTAGATAGTGTCCCCCTTTCACATCACAAGTCCCAGTTTTCACATCAAGAGCCCTCTTCACATCAAAAGCCCCCCCGCCCTTTACTTCAGGAGCCCTTCTTTCACATCAGTAGCGCCCTTCACATCAGAGTCCCCCCTACCTTTTTATATCAGAAATCGACCTTCACATCAGAAGTCTGTTCACACAATGGAAAGGCATGATGCTGTGTGAAAGTTTCAAGGACCCCCTGTGGAAGGCAGAAGGTGCTCCGGCGTGCCATGGCACCCTGGTTGAGAAAGGCTGGTCTAGTCCATCATCAGGCAGGAATGTACAGTTAGTGCTCCCTATTTGCTCTTGTGTGTACAAAGCTAAATGCTATCTTGATAAGAACAGCACTCTACTATTTGGTGAAAACTCCATTGGTGTCCATATTAAGGGGGGCTGGAATAACCTGAGGACACAATGGAATGTGAACATGAAGGGGGTTATCAAGTAGCTTGGATTCACAGAGAAGTCAAAATCTGTATGCATGTCTTGGTTCAGACATATCCTACGCAGTGCAGCGGAATTCTCAGCTTCAACTATAGTTAAGGGCAGGCACCAATGGGAACCTCATAACATCAAATTTAACTTGTATTCATGGAGACATGTTAACTTCATGCTCCTCCATGGGACAATGTGAATAATTCTCATTGGGCACAATTGTTACCTCTAATGCCCGTATTGAATTATTAAGGGTAATTACTGGTATTGAAGTATTGAATGTAGAACATACTGTAAAATACATTTCTCAGGAAGGCAAAGTGTATTCCTTATAATATATTTACCGCATATCTAAGACAATAATAATATGATCACATCAGCTTAAAAATACAGATAGAAAAGGAGAGTGATCTAAAAGCCAAAACGTTAGGTACCAATTTAAAATAAAACTTACTTTTTTACTTTGGGATACTGCATTTCACATAAGATATTTGTTGCTTCTTTTTGTCTCTCCTTTAATTTTGATGGCCACATGTTATCTACCCAATCAACTGCGTCTACCTATATAAATGTAACATCTAGATTAGATCACAAGTAGATCATATTTAAGGGAAATAATTCACACGTTTCAGAAAGTTTTAATTATATTGTCTTAAAACACACACACAGCATACAGAGGCAGACACATACTATGCTATATACCATGAACTACAAGAGCTGTACTTCGTTTAGTAAATCTGTGTCCAGTTTTTACATACTGACAGCAGTTACAACTGACTGCTTTTACTACAGCTAACTTTAGAAATTCTGCATGTTCACACAGACGGTTGCTATGCTAAAGTTCTCATCTGCTGTGCTGTGTGAGAAGTAAACATTGGCAAAGAAAAAACAGTCAATTGGATAAGCGCACTACTGTTGGAGTGATGATGGGGTACAAATTATAAGTGTATGGCTGGGTTCACACTTGGGCGTTCGTGATATGCGCGTTTTTACAGCGATTTGCGGTCAACGAAGCGTGCGACAAACGCGCGTTTACGAGGGCTATCCAGCTGTATCCTAATGGATACGCGTGAAAAATACGGCCCAAAAGAAGCTCCTGTACTTCTTAGGCGTAGGGCGCTTTTCAGCGCGTTCCTACTCGCTGAAATACGCCCAGGTGGGAACCATGCCCATAGGAAATAATGGGATTTCACTTGCTGGGCGTTTTACAGCGCGTCGATCAGCGCTATAAAACGCCCAGGTGTGAACCAGGCCTTACTGATAGTGGTAGTGGAAGAGGATACCAATAGTACTGATGATTAATATTAATCAACAGTGTGCGATCTCCTGCAACAGGGAGAGGAGCCCTGTACCTAGAAAAAACAAAACACGCAAAGAAAGGAGCGCTACTACTGGAGAAGCTACTAAAAGTGATGTAGGTAATGAAGGCAGATGTGGGGACTCACTGTTAGATGAAATCACCGAGGATAGTGAAGGACGAGGTCCATATGAAATGATAGCTGGAATCAGGGGAGTATTAGTCTTGGAAGGAATGTCCTGAAGTGTCTGTCAGTATGTGAGAACAAATCTTGTGGAGAATAAGCTCTCAAAGGGTTGACAATGTCACAAGGTGATAGATCCGGCGCTACACGCGCTCAGCTGGCCAGCTTATTCTATCACCATGTAGCGCCGGATCTATCACCTTGTGACATTGTTAACCCTATGAAAGCTTATTCTCCACAATATTTTTTCAGGACATGTCTTCCAAGACTAATACTCCCCTGATTCCAGCTATAACTTCATATGGACCTCGTCCTTCACTATCCTCGGTGCCTCCATCTAACAGTGAGTCCCCACATCTGCCTTCATTACCCACATCACTTTTAGTAGCTTCTCCAGTAGTAGCGCTCCTTTCTTTGTGTGAGTTGTATACATTGGCAGTCAACCGCTAAACTAGCTTTCCAAGGTAAAGATTAATAGAGAACAGAAATGTATATAGAGAAACAATTACATATGAAAAATGTTACCAAAAATTGATAAGCTGTCCCATTCAGTTCCATTCTTACATCAAGCCTTTAGACTGCAGTTGAAAAAAAGCTATCTACTTTAATAGCCAAGATTGTGTCACTGTCTGGTCAACAATATGGCCTGAAACCTTGAGTACTCTCAGATTGCACAGATTAAAGTAGAACTATGTCCTCCCCCCAAAAAACAAAAAATAAGTGCTGCAGCTCCTAGTTATAAAGTTAATCTGCACTTACAGTTTTCTCTTCGTCCCCCTGCAAAGTCCCACAAATAGCTGTAGATCATCTCAATAGCTGAGATGATGTGCATGGTCACATGACCTAGTCACATGTGCTAGAGTTCCAGGAAGTAAAGGGAGATATATTAATCTGTCCTTAGTAAAAAATAGCCACTGTTATAAGACAGGGGGGGAATAAAAAGGTATATAAAGAATACAAAGCCTGCAATTATCTAGAAGTATGTGTTTGTAGATTGTCATTACTAAACATTTCTAAAAGGTGTGTTTGTTGTCATTTCAAAGATAAGGGTAAAGTTCCTCTTTAAGAAATCCAGAGAGCTCATAACATAAACAAAAAAGGTTTACCAGTTCAGAAAGGGCCCGTCAGTTGTGTTTACCTCCCAGGACAAATGTTCCCAATCCTTCCCATGGTGGAAGGCATTTGGAAAGGTCACTGTTGCTGGAAGAGTACGTATTTATTGTACATAGCAGAGAATAAGGGGGGAACTCAAGGCATAGTTGCCTGAGAACATTGGCAGGAAGATCTCACCGCTGGAGCCACCAAGAGACACAAAAAGTCATTAGATGATTACATCTACCAACCTCCACTCAAAACTGCTGACCGGTGCAAACATTCAAATAGAAAGGAAATCAATGTCCACAACTAAACACAGTTATCATAGGAAGAGCCCCTGAGGAATAAGAAAACACTGGCAGAAGAATAACAAGTCATTCAGCATATGTCTTTTGTCACAAATAAGGAAGAAATAAAAGCTCATACCACAGTTGGCCTCTTGACTACTTTCTCCAGCTTAGTGTGGCTAAACTCCAGGCTGATCACATTGTACAGTTTCTCCCTTTCCGTTTCCGGCGTCTCATAGTAGCGAACAAACTGGGACATACTCATGTCTGTACCCTTTTGTGTGGTCACATCCATCACATCAACTATACGCCGACTTCCTAAAATGAAAATACACACACTGCAAGGTCATTCAGCTAATCAGACTCATTTTCTGACATCCAGTGCAAAGATGACAGCTGGCTTTAGGTGAGATGCTTTGTAAAAATGATGCCCCTGTTAAAGTTTAAAAGGAGAACTATGAGGCGAGTGATTTACATCCTCATAGTTAGAGCGGACGTTTGACATTGAAACTGTCACACGTCGACTCTATAGTTCGGGAAGTGAGTGAACGCATACCGTTGCTCGCTCACTACCTGATCATCTCCCTGCAGAGAGCGGTGATGGTCAGTCACCGCTCCCCTCAGGGATTCACCCCTCCCCTCTCCAATCCTCCAGTGCTATAAGGAGGAACGGACAGGGAGGAGGCGGGCACAGCTGGCTCTGCCTCTAGATAGGCAGAGCCAGCTGTCACTCAGCCAGCTGGGTGGATCTCGACAGTATTGTGCGGCGTCCTCAGTGTATAGCGAGCAATAGCCCACTATATACTGAGCTTTGGGTCATGGGAGGAGGTTAGTATATGTCCTGCCGTGACCCTAAAGAGAACTATGGGAGAAAAAGGTTACCCCATAGTTCTCTTTTAACTTCAGGCAGATATAAAATACACAAATGATTACAGCTTTGTTTTTACTAATATATCAATAAAATAAAGCAGCCTGTTGTAGCCCCTGTACAGCAGAGCTCAGATTGAGGGAGGGAGAGGCAGTACAAGGAGCCAATCAGAAGTGCTGCAGTGCAAGGAGCAGGGTGTTAGAACAAGAGAGCAGAGTGACAGAAAGATGATCTCACAGTTTGCTCCTTTTCTTTTCACTGTCTGGTCGCAGGCTGAACAAGGGACAAGACCCTTTAGTGTTACAGACCTGACAGCCACAAGTGTGTTGTGTGGCAGAGCATAAATCTCAGGACTGGATGGACAGAAATACAAATACTTTGGCAGGTGAAACTGAAGGTGGAGAACAGGGTGTGTGTGTGTAACCTGGCTAAGAAGGAACGGTGACTACATAGTAGAAAGAAGGGACAACAGTACCCACAGATTGGTTGTTGTCACCAGCCAAGCTAAATACCTAATTAAACTGTGGATGCAATGAATGTAAACCTGACATTGGAGGTCATAAAAGCATCTAAGTGCAAGCATGATCCATAATATCTTCAAGCACAAGAAAAGAAACCTGTACTAAGAGAATGATAGGCGTTGCCCCTGCTGACATATTCTTTAGAAAATGCAAGTTGCATGTCTGTCTCTCTTGCCCAAACTCTTAGCATTACAGAACAAACTCAGAGTGAAATAGCTGCATGTTCCAGGGTTGCAACATAGATCTGAAGCCAGGCAACTAATGGCAGTCTTCATAATAATCTTAATAAAAATTTCAGTAGAAGAGCAATCGGCTGTAATCTCTCTACTTGAAATTGGGTCGAAAATGTAAAAGTTTTCCTGGAGAACATTTTGCCATCAATTATGCAAATTTATGATCTGCTTATTTTTAAACCTATGACCCCAGAAGGAGCAGTCTCCATGAGAATATAGCTGAAAGCATGTGACTATGCATAGAGCAGTGTGAAGAAGTGCCACTTGAGGGCACTGTGATGTAGGAAACGGCATTTATTGGGTATTTCCATGCCCAGCACATCAAATGTCAAATATACAAATGCAGTAACCTAGAGCATCCAATCAGATGTCATGCTAAATAATTCAGATTGGATGCTTATTTCAATTCGCGCATTGCTATTTCCTTATTGGATAAACTGAGTTTAATTGTAGTTTTTGCCATAAACTATCTCTCTGTAATCTGAACATTACAATTATAGATAGAAGAAGACAGGAATTACTAAAACTGCAGAAAAAGCACATGGAAATTACATTTTGCTGTAAAGGAATAATACATGGGTAAAAAGAAAGTTTAGCATAGTATCCTAATAGACATTAAGTACGCAGAATGAGAATGGTAAAGATAAAATAAATCTATTCATCATTATCCCCCCTCTTATAGCCACTTTTTCCATGTTGTTCCAACCCAAACTAGCAGTCTAAGGCAGCATTTATTTATTACAGGTATTCATATAGAACCCACAATTTACACAGCGCTTTACATACTGCACATTCACATCAGTCCCTGCCCCCAAGGAGCTTACAGTCTAAGGTCCCTCTCACACACACACACATACAGGGCCGAATTTAGACAGGAGCCAATCAACCTTCCAGAAAGTCTTTGGAGTGTGGAAGGAAACTGGAGAGCCCTGGTGAAACCCACACAAGCACAGGGAGAACAAGCAAACTCCTTGCGGATAGTGCCTTGGCTGGGATTCGAACCAGGGACCCCCAATAGTATTTTTCAACTTTTTTTCAGTCACAGCTCCCTTTAAAATCTGGTCTACGGGTGTCCGCCCACTGTTTGGAAAATTATCAGGGCTTCAGTAACAAGATAACAGAGACTGCTGGTATTTTTCAGTTATGAGCTATCCTGAACTATGTTATTTACTCAAGGGCCAATCAAGACCCTAGTTCAAAGTAACATAAACTGTAATGGAGTCTTAAAGGAGAACTTTGAGGTGAGTGCTTTTCACTCACCTCATAGTTCTAGCCGACCTGTGACAATTAGGGTGACGGGAGGACGCTAGTTTGTGTCCTCCCGTTACCCTAAGAGAACTATGGGGAAAAGCCTTAACCCCATAGTTCTCCTTTAAAAATAAATAAAAGTACTCAAAATAAAATAAAGTCAGATCCTTAGTGCACACAACAAGTACAGCAGTTCTATTCTTCCATCATTATTATCAAGTAATGCCGTGGGTATCTAGTCTCCCATGGAGGCCTGCAGTCTTAGAAAGAGAAAATAGGGTTATTTTAGATAAACATTTTTAACTTTCTTTTTAAAAGAATTTCAGGCAACAAAACACAGCACACTAGTATTCAACTGAACCAGTCACTGATAAATGAAAATAAATAAAACAGTGCAAGCAAATAATGATACAGATGCCTCCAGTATGCTCCAGGAGCTCCCTAAATTTCTTATGCAAGGAAAAAACCTCTGATAGTCTGACCGTGGGCAGCTCACGCACAGACGCACGCACCAGACAAAGACACCAGTATGCTGCTCCAGTACACATCATTGCATCTGCGAGATGCAAGGTGGGGACATCGCTATGTACCTAATGTGAGAAAGTCCATGCTTTGTAGTATAAAAAAG